ATATTTCATTTCCCAATACTGTATCGATGTTCTAAGGCCCTGTATCGATTTTTTATTAAGGTTTAAAATGTCAACTTTCCTGCCAGCCGTTCATTWTTATGTTGTAGTTCAGCCTCTGTTATTTAATAGAATTTTTGGACAAAAAAGTATCGCGATATATCGCGATATATCGGGATATATCGTATCGTGACCCCTCTGTTATGATATGTATCGTATCGCCAAATTCTTGCCAATACACAGCCCTACTGCAAAGACCTCTTTAAAAGTCACTAAAGTACCACCAGAAAACAAATAATCCCTTTCTTTTTACCTCCTTTTCTCATTTGGCTCACATTTTGTCACTTCTTTTTTTTCCTCCTCACCACCAACTCCTCTTTTCTTCTTCTTCTCTTCTGTGGAAAATTTACTGGTTTCCTGGGCTCAGACAAAGACATTCTGACTAAACAATAACAAAGAGTTCATGCAACTCTGTCAGTAATTCAGCACAAGGTTATAAGTCAGAAAGTGTACGTACACAACGTGTGCCTCACTTCACAACGTCCGGACCGACTGATGAAGAGGAGTGCTCCTTTTATTTACGTCTACTTTTGAAGTTTTTAAAAGAATTGAGACAAAAAAAAACAGTTCAACATGTAAACATCTCTGCACAGAATCAGAAAATATGGAATAAATCAGTTTTAATCTGGCCTAAGTAACAAAAAAAAACTTATAAAACTAAATTAGACAGGCTTTAATGTACAGTGAATRTGTGTATTTGGGGATATGCCAACTTATGAAAAATAAAGACATCTACATTGAAGATGCAAAAAAATAAAATAAACTGGAAACTTTTTAGGTCTTTTTATTCTATAATGTGAACAAATTGTTCAAAGATAAACTTTATTAGTAATTTAGACATAATTTCTTTTTTATAATTAGTCTAAAGTGTTATAATGTGACAGGGCCTTTAGGCTCAGTAAACTGATTTGGAATGATAAATAAAACATCAAGAAGTTCAAGCTGATTTTTTTTATGTCCACACTATTTAAATAAAGGTACTTTTTTTCTTAATACTACTGAAAATCATATCAGCCTTTGTTTTAAATATGAATAAAAATTATATAAATAAAAAATGGGGTCAAAAATTGGTGTAAAATCGGTCTGAGAGCTGAAAAAAGCCAAAGATTTTAAACAATATTTCTAAAATGTTCAYTTCTGTTCTCTCAATCTTTTTATTTATATCTGCGTATTAAAGAAATAAACTATAAATAAAGCATTATTACACTTAGTTACTAATAAAATAAGCAGTTTTGTTTGATTTCGTACAGGCCTGTGTCTATTTACAGTTTATAGAAGTACATATTTACTACAATCTTGACAAAATGAATGAAATATGATTTTTAAAATGTTATTAATAATCAAAGCAGAGACAATAAGTCTTTCATCACACAAAGCCTCAGTTTGTTTAGTAACGACAYCACAGCCACAGGAAACTGTTTGCTTCAACACAACAAAGACTTCATGACAAAAAGATGAGGGGCGAAAGGCCCGGGACCTCTGGACCCGTTTAGACTCCAGCAGCTTCACCTTCTGCTCGTCACAGATCAGCATCAGAGGACCGGACCGGGCCGGGCCGGGCCGAAACAGGACCGGGGCCACAATGTCACCTCCAGTCCTGGAGCCACCAGCCAAACCAGCAAGACTCTGCGGGACGTTCAGTCCAGTTTGAAGAACAAAGGAGGGGCTCTGAAAACAGCCAAACAAGCCCCGCCCCCCAACAGTTCCTGGCTGTACTTCAAGTCTTCTGCAGACCCGTTAAGGCTCCAGAACCAGGTCCTCTCTCAGYGCTGACAGGTTTTCAGCTCACAGAATACTGACCGAGCAGAAGAAATCTGCTAAAACACGTCTTAGAGTTGGAATAAAAAYGAAGGTTTGAACAACGAGTGAATTAATATTAAATATGTTTTCAACCAGAGGAGAAAGGACAGAAATAAACATATAAATGTAAAACTTAACTGTACAAACAGTACTTAGAAACAGTTTTAAAACTTGTATTAAACCTGTAAATACTAAACTAACAGAAAAATGTCCAACTTTTAATGTAATTTCTTACTAATAAAACTGTGTAAAAATCATGCCATTACATAAGAGTGCATCTTCCAGACAGTTTGTGTGCAATTGTTAGCAAAATATCTCATGAACTACTGGACATTTTAATTAAACGAGTCAATTTAATAAATCAAACTTGATGGCTGCAACATCCACCTGACTTTAAATAAACAATAATAAAAAATAAAAACACAATAATGGCTAAAACTGTGACAATTTCACACACATTAAGCTAAATATTTTAGTATACTAGTACAAGTAGAAAATGTGATTTTATTTATAAAAAGAGTAAAAAGGTAAAAGGTTTCTTGAAATCRGCAAGGATCAAAAGGATAGCTAAAAGTAGGAAATTCGCACAAAAAATTACACAAAACTTAACTAGAGGCCAAATGTAACAGAATGCTAGCTAAAAGCTATAAATAGCWAAATATAAATGTAGCAAAAGGCTGCCTAAAAGTTTCAAATTYCAGATAAARGTAGCACAAAGGCTAGCTAAAAGTAGTAAAATCCCAGCTAGTTGAAATGTAAAAAAAAACACTTGCTGAAACCTCAAAGTAAAAAGAGAAAGAGAGTAAAAATCATTGAATTTTTGTTTAAAAAATTGATGCATTTTTAAACTTTTCTCTTCATACTGTTAAATTGTGAAATTTCATTTCATAAAAAAGGCTAAAATTCTGACATTTTTACACACATTATACTGTAGTTTGGTGTTTTACACTCAGACTGAACAAGAAGGATAAAATGTTCCCATTAGTTATTTAGTTTTACCTTCATCTATTAGCAAAATATCCCATGAACCACTGCAGAGATTTTCTCGAAACGTTCAGGAAATCACCAATAAAAACTAAATATATTAGAAAATCTTGTGATGATGGTATCAGCTGTGATATTCATCTTTTTTTTCTTTCCTCTCTTTCTAATCTGGACTTCCAAACTGTGACCTTCAGTATTTTTGACATCATTAGTGTCTGGTGTGAGCTGTGAGACTCTGTCCTACAGGCTAAAGTTAGCATTAGCATGAAAAATACAACTTCAAAACTCTTCAACAATCACTGCACTCCATTCAGTCCTTAGTGATATTAATGCTACACACAGTGATAATGTGATGACGATATATTCCTGATATATTGTGCAGCCCTGATTATATTAAATACTTTAATAAATKATTAGATTTTGGAGACAATACAATTCAGGATGGCTCCTTCAGCCAACTGATGTTAGAAAACACAAAAAAAGTTATAATTCAGTAAATTTTAGCACATATTCTGCTAAAATATGTGACAATATTAAKTGAAATTATATAACATTAATTTCAAGATTTGATCAAAGTGTGACTGAGTGTAAATWGCTCTAAATTTAGTGTTAAAAACAAGTAAAAATAAAGAGAGACATTAAGATAAAAACAGAAAGGAGGGGGTGGTTTGTGGGACTTGGGTGGCGTCCAACGAGGTTCAAGTGCTTCTGTTTTGGTTCTTCAAGAAGAAAACGCGAGCGTGAGATCCAGAAACCAGTAAAAGTCCAACACAATGAGAACCCAGCCTCAGCCTGCTGAACAATCCCACCGCTCGCCCGCACGTTAATGAACTGCAGATATGCAAATGAGCCAGACGAGCAAAACGCCGAGCATGTGCTGCGAGCAGGGTCCGCGGCTTTTCTGAGGGGCTCGCTAAGTCCAGAGGTGGGAAACGGGCAACCTTCTCACCCTGATTCTGTTTTCCTCCCTCCAGGGTGAAACGGGAAGAAGTGGGGAGGTTGTGAACAAGACGCTGCGACGACAAACACAAGATATGAGGGGTGTGTGTGTCTGTGTGTGTGTGTGTGTGTGTGTTTGCGATACTATAAGCAAGGCGATATATTGCAATTTTTTTTGTCCAAAAATTCTATTAAATAAAAACCTCTTACAAGGGAAAAAAAATGAAAAACCAAAATTCATTGTCTCAGAAAATTCTAATATTACAGACTTTTGATACATTTAGCTGTGTTC